GGATTGGGGGTTATTAAAAGAACTGTCCCCTTTGTTTACTGAGCCTAGCCTGTTACTGCTTCATAAGGTTTTCTTTCTGGGACCCATGGAAGAAATTTTATACATGCATAAAAAGTCTAGAAGTGCAATTTCTGATAGTCTGCCTTTACTGTTGAATAAGCACCTCATTGTCTTCCCTTGGTAGAGTCCTGAGAAACCAAGAATCAGATCTGTGTTTCCCGTCCTCTTGGTACAAAGTTGTGTTCACTGGCAACCTTTGTACAGTGCCTTCATGTTGGCTTCAGCTCCATTTCCCTGCTGTGGTTACCTTCTGTTTGCTCTAGTCCATCTTGTTATTTCACTTTTGCTATTTTGTATGTGATTGTGAGAGCCATGATCATTTCTCTTTTTCCTCTTTTCCTGGGTGGAGAAAGGTAAGTATTTCACTGACTGAGACTGTTGTGGTTTCTTGGAGGTTGTTAGCTGGCAGTAGCTTTTGAATTCTGGTGTGTTAGCGACATGCATCCTATTTTAATCTTGCTTCCTGTGGAAGTGCCTCGGGGACACAGTGTATTTCTAAATTTAGTGTGATGAATACTGGATCACACACAGTTTCTGCCAGACCCTAGGCAAAGCTTTGGAGGTCGTTCAGGTCTACACATGAAGGATAAAGTTCTTCAAAAGTGGTTTGTACAAGAAAGATCCCTAGTGACTAAAAAAGTACCTAAGTCATTGAATTTTACTGCAATTAAAAGGGACTTGGGGGCTGGAGAGATGGCTCAGTGGTTAAGAGCACGTGTTGCTCTGCAGAGGATCTGAGTTCTGTTCCTAGCACCATGTCAATTGACTCATCACTGCCTATAACTCCCAATTCTAGGGGATCTGATGCTCTTTTCTGGCTTCTGTGGCTTGCAAGTGTGCTCACATGCACGCGCGCGCGTGCGCGCGCGTGCGCACGCGCACACACACACACACACACACACACACACACACACAATACTTGGGCATTAGATTACACACACTTATTTTCTATCTCCTTACAGGGTGATCTTTCTCTAAACTCCATTGAAATCTGGGCCTTAAATAGGCTACATGAGGTTTACAGAAAATGAAAGTGAGGTATTAGAACTAAAAAAAGTTCACAGGAACTGGATGGCTTGTTGGGTCAAGTGCTTGCCACACAAGTACAAGGACCAGAGTTCAGATCCCCAGCGCCCCTGTAAAAGCTGGGTGTGTTAGTGTACATCTGTAACTTCAAAGCTGGGGGTCATAGATACTCGGGAATTGCATGTCAGGTAGTCTTGCCCAATTGGTGAGCTGCAGGTTCACTAAGCTACTGTCTCAAGCAAAACAAAACATGGAGAGTAATAGACAAAGATAACCCCCCACACACACACACCCTAAAAGCAAAAAAAAAAAGCCACACGTTCTTCAGTGGTCTCCCATGAGACAAATACAAGGAATTAATGTAGAAAGAACTTTTTTCTTGATGTAAAAAGAGAAAGTTTGTAATAATATACATTTCATCAGTTCCTCAGTATCTTTGATATGTCTTTTAAAAAACTTTTTAATTGATAGTAACAATGCCTTTCAATTGCTTGCTTATTTATTTATTTTGACACATGGCCTATTTGTTTTTGTTTCTGTTTTTGTTTTTGTTTTGGCACATGGTCTTGTTCTGTATTCCAGGCTGCCCTCAAACTAGTGATCTTCTGTCTCCACTTCTTGAATGATGAGGTGACAGGTGTGTGCTACCAGTTTTGCCAACTGATAATATTGATGAGCTAGTAGCAGCAGCACCATGCATTTTCCATGTATCTTTATCTTTCCCAGCATATGGGTAACATAGGTGCCCCTTGTTCTGTTTTAAGGGGAAGGGAGATGATAAGAGCCCACTCCATACACACCAGGTTTTTGTCTGAGTAGCCCAGTACTGATTGACAAGGCTGTAAATTCTTTGCACATACTATAGACTTCAATCCCCAAACCAAGTTTAGATATATGACATTCTTAAGGGATTCTGTAGGTTCTTTAGTGCATGTGGTAGAGGCTGTCCCTAACATTGTGTCATCCTTCAGGAAGTCATTTACTGTATATAGGCAAGGAATATATAGGCACTGAGCATTCTGGACCCTGGGATGCTCAGCCAGCTGGTTCTGGCTCAGGGTCTTTGGCCTGTGCACTTAATTCCTAGAGAGAATAGAATCATGAAAACGGTCTGCTTCTTACCAACAGACTCAGAGACCAAGACTCCTTGAGGGGTCTTACTTTTTAATTTTTAATCAAGGAACCAAAAGGGAATATTCTACAAAGAATAAGTCTGGCAAGATAGGCCTGGGCTCTTCGTAAGAAGCAGAGGTGTAAAGGACAGGGGTGTTGACTGTGCTGCAGGTCTCAACAGGGTAAGTAATTTCTCTCCAAGGGCATGAGACTAGGCAATAGGAAACCAGTTAGGAGATATGCTTAGTACCCTGCACAAAGAATGAAGGATGGGTCTAGACATCTGGCATTCACAAAACTGGTGAGCACAGAATGCAAAGCTATGGATGAAGGCAATTTGCCAGTTTGCTGATCATGGGAAATCATTGCCTGTGTTCATTTATTTCCCTACCTTCCTCAAATAATAGCTGCATGTTTGTGTCTCCTCAACCCCTTACACTGTCCACACTGGAACGGACCACTCCAGTGTAATTAAAAGTAGTTTTCCCTCACCCATGGGGCATGCAGCTTAAGGTCTCTAGTAGATTCCTGATAAAGCTTGTATTACATTTTCTTTTTCCTATGCCCACATATGTGTAATAAAACTGAATATATGCCACCACAGTAAGAGATTAACAACAGTAATAAGTAAAACAGTTGTAACAGTATACTACGATAAGAGCTATATGAATGTGGATTTCCCTCACAATATCATTATGTAGTACCCAGTGTTCTTGTGATGCCTCTGTGATGGAGTGAAATTAGGTGGATAAGTAAGTTTAGCATGACAGTTATTATTAAGTAAAGTAAGTATTTGAATACATAAGCATTGTAGTGGTATGACAAGCCATATAATAACAGATGTCCTCTAATTGACCAATGTGGGAGAGCATATAGATGTGCTGAACCAAGGAATGAATTATACTTTCAATGACACAGAGGGGAGCAGCACAAGAATTCATACAAATCAGAATTGGGTGCCACTTAAAACAAAAGAGTTGTTTAGTTGCAGAATTTTACACTTAATATTTTTAGACCACCATATAGCTGAAACCAGCACCTCAAATAAGGGAAGACTGCAGTATGTTATTGTAGGATTTGTAACAGTGCCCCTAATCTACCATTCCACACCAAGAACATTCTCATCCTCAATTGTAGTAGACACTGTGGACACTGCACTCATGTGCCTGTGCAACACACACACACACACACACAGAGAGAGAGAGAGAGAGAGAGTCAAAGAGTACAGTCTGCTATAGTGTGGTAGCTGTGGCAGTGACAGTTTGAGCATGAGTCTGCCCTCAGTGTCTTACTTCTATCAGGTCTCACTACTTAAAAGTCTCATAGCTTTTCCCAAATAGTGCTACCAGCTAGGGACCAAGTATTTAAACACACAGTAGGTATCTTGGAACTGACCTGCTCGCTGGCTGTAGATGTTTCAAAACTGCAAGCCAAGCCATGGATTCTATCAGTCTACACTGGCTGGGCATGCAGCTGCTTTTTTTGTGGTCTGTCTTTATATCTAAATGGCTGTGTCTTCCTGCCGGGGGAGGCAACATGCCAAAGAGTTAGACCCCCCAGTTTCCCTTTCTCTTTGTCCTTGGCCCCTCAGGCATGAAGGACCTATAGATTTCCCCTAGGATGGGGATATGCAGCCATGAAAACAGGGTTGTCTTAACAACAGAAGACATAAAGGATAAGTGAATATTGGTGGACAGACAAACTTATTCATTAGGCATGGCTTCTTAGCCCTTTGTTCCTACCTGCATTGGGACCTAATGTAGTGACTGTAAGCTCAGCTTGCATTGGGACATGTCTTAAGATCTTATCAATGCTGGTATAGGTATTAGCTCTCTGGAAGTCACTTGGCCATGGTTCTTTATGTGTATATGCACATATATGTAGTTGAATTTGTTGATGGAGCTATTTGTCACTGGAAAATAGTGGCATCACACGTTCTGACCTTCCTCTTCTCTTGCCTGTACCCAGTGAGTGCCATCTCTTCCCCGTTGTGCTTTTCCTACCATACACTCTTAGTCCAGAAATTCTAAACAGGGCTGTATCTGGGAAACAGCTGTTTCAGTTGGAACAGTAAGGGTGACTCTGTAGGCTATTATATAGCCCAGGTTAGTCTTGAACTTAAGATACTTCAGTTTCTGCTCCCTGAATCCTGGGATTACAGTTGTATACCATTGCAGTCTGCCCATTTAAAATCATCTCATGTCTTATCTTGACTTAAAAGGAAGATCTTCACTTTTCACTTGGTTTTTTTTTTTCTTTTTGGATGACAGAGGAGGTTGTGTTATTGAGAAGGTTGCTGTGGGGGCGGATTTCTGTAACTAAGAAATATCATTTATGGGCTGCTCCTGAGCAGTCTGAGATCATGATAAACTCTGAGTGGGTTTATGTGAACTGTCTCTCTGTGCTTTATGCAGAGGTACAGACATTAAGTTCATTAGTGATGGCTGCCTGCCACCTTACGTGGTTCTTAGTAGTAAAGCTACAAAGTGCTGTTACAGTATAGTCAAGGGAGGAGCTCTTCAGAGGGGTATGTTCTAAGTAATGCATCCTTAGATTTTGCTGGGTGGACATCCATTGAGTACATGCACTGGAAGTAGCCTAGCTGTGATACCACAGGTGATGAAAGTGTATGGGTATGCTGTCTTATATGTAGTCCATTGTCGTCTAAAGCATCTGCATGCAGGACTTACTGACTAGACTTAACTAAGACACCTCTCTGCCCAGTAATAAGATGTTGACAATAATACTTCAGCATGTGTTGGTTGACATTTTATCTTACTTTGGGTATTATTCATTAACAGGTAATTGAAGATAGAAGAGAGGTCTGAAGAAAAAGGATTTGCCTGCGTTGCTTCTGAGTAAGTGAAATGGCAAAACGGATTTCTCACTATGCAGTGAATTAACACGTCAGCCTCCCAGTATTTCCTGAGCTTAAAAAAATAATGTGACAAGGTTGGCATTATGCACTGGAAATGGTGATTTACCAACATTTATTGCAATTGGCTGATTTGGCTGAGAAAGAGAAGGGAAAGAAGGATGAGAAATAGCAGCAATAGTCATGACAAACTGCTTTTACATTTTTTTCTTAGATGTGCTGGACCTGGAACCCTGGACCTTGTGCATGCTAGCAAGGTACCAACCCATACCCCCAAACCCATAAAAACCCTTCTTCTTTAGTTTATCTTTAGGAAGATGGAGATTTATACTTTTTAAAAAATTTTGCAATACTGGGGGTTGACGGTCTTTGTGCATGCTGCAGGTGCTTTGCTGCCAAGCTACACCCTCAGTCCTGTGTGAGTTTTAGAAAACAAACATGGAGAATGACCACAGTGTGTGTGCTTTTCAGTGGAGCATACCTGCTGATGTCTTCTGCCACATACATATGAAATTGTTATTTTACCAACCAACCATGGCTTCTAGAAACAAATTGAAAGCATTTGGCTCTTTTCTATATCTAGGGCTTCCTCTGATTTATATGCCCCTCCTGAAATTAGTGTGGAAATGAACTCAGCCTTGAAAGTGTGTGTGTGTGTGTGTGTGTGTGTGTGTGTCAGCCAGAGTTTTCCACAAACATCTTCTTTTGGCCCCATTCTGAGGTAGCATGGCCGATGCATGGCAGATGAATGGGGAAGCTGCTGGGGAAGCATTTTTCATCAGTGCCGGTCTGGGTGGTTTATCAGGACAGAAGGAGGCAGCCTCTGGGATCTTTAGAGGCTGATATGCTGATTGCCTTTTGTCACTCAGTTTTGATTGAAAGCATTCAATTTAGGCATTATTTAGAAACAGTCTCTCATCTCTCGCTGTCCTTGTGACCTGTTACTTCTGTCCTGTTGTAGAGAATATAGATATATATGGGGTATAGTTGAGTTCATTTGGATTAGGAGTCAGAGGTGAACACAGGGTGTGGTGCCCTCTGTGGTGTGTCTGGGTGTGAGCCTTTTGCTAAGCATTTTCCACCTGACGTTTATTGGTTCTTGGTAGCAGCTTTACTGAGATAGACAGTTCACCCATTTAACACCCACAGTTTAGTGATTTTTACTATATTCTAACCATATCCTGACCATCAAGTTTACAATATTTTACCATTCCCTAAAGAAACTCTGTTAGCAGTCGATCTCCATTCCCATCTTCCCCAGCTCGTGGATACCATAGACCGGTTTTCTGTGTGTGTTTGTGCCTGGCTGTGGCCTTTTGCATGTGGTAGTTTCCACCCTGCGACTGTTGTCAAGGACTACAGTGTGGCTTAGTATTGATGTTTTGCTTCTTAGTAGACATAAATGCTATTCCGTCATCTGCTCATTCATGCACTACACAGTCATTTTTGAAACCTTCTCTTCCTGTGGTTATGGATATCACACTCAGGTCACTATACATGCTTGGCCAGTGTTCTACTGTGTTCTTCAAGCCTCCATATTTTTCTTATAAAAAAAGACACAGGGTCTCTCAGTGTTGCTTAGCCTAACTTCCAACTCTGGAGAGCAGGTCTTTACCACCATAGCTGTTCAAAATCTTTTACTTTGAAACCATGGTAGATTCACAGGGAATTACAAACATATTACTGTGATTTCTTGTCCTTAACCTTTTCTAGTAGTCATATTGTCCTCTTACAGAGCAACCTGTCAGTATATGCACCTTTGAGTGTGCATGTATGGGGCGGGAGACATGTACGCACATGCATCCGCATGCACAAGTAGAGGAGAGCTCCTTAGACACCTGGTGAAGAGATTGCATGTTCAGAGTAAGACTTGAATGGCTGTAGTATTGGACGTACAATACTTCAGGAAGGAATGACATGCCCTTAGATCCCCTCATGTGTATGCTCTCAGTGTAACTATACATTGGGAAAATAGTCACCATACTATGTTAGTCCATTCAGTGTGAACTAAAATCCTCTCCCCAAATCCATACTTTAAACAACAATAATAAACAGGAGTAGCACAAAACTGACTAGGAAAAGAAAAAGAGCCAAAGCAGAAGTATAAGAAACATCTAGAGATACAGACACACACATTGTCTTATAATCCCATTAAAACACAACATAGGAAATCATAATATATACTCAAAAGACTTATAAGGAGGAAAAAAGATAATGCCCAGTCAAAGTATTATAAACAAGGAACCCCCCAAAATACCATTGAGTTTGTTTTGTATTGGCCAGCTACTGCTGGGCATGAGGCTTGCCCTTTAGTGTGGTTTGTAGACTCAGTGAGATGCAGCCAGATAAAACTAATGTTCCTTTACAAGTAGTTATCAATTGGAGATAGCGTCTAGGTTAGGGATTGGAAATTTGTGTTCACTTTTCTCAGCTCTAAGGATACCATCTGATGCAGACCCTTGCATGCCTGGTGCTTGCTCAGTCTCTGAGTTTGTATGTCTGTTAGTCCTGTTGAGTGTTTGCAAGACCCTGTTTCCTCACTGGCTCTTACAGTCTTTTTTGCCTCCTCTTCCACACTATTCCCTGACTCCTGAGGGGAGTGATTTGATGGAGACCTCCCATAGGGCTTAGTGTTCCAGGGTCTCTCAGTCTCTGTGTAATATCTGGCTGTGAGTCTCTGTATTTGTTCCCATCTGCTGCAGGAGGAAGCTTTTCTAATGATGACTGAGCAAGACACTAATCTGTTCGTATAGCAGAATGACATTAGTGTTTTTATTGCTATGTTTCTTTAGCAGAACTGTAGCATTTGGTTTTCCTCCAGGTCCCTGGTCTCAGGTTCTTGTCCACTGAGACAGTATTGGATGTAGCTGCCATCTCATCGAGTGGATCTTAAATCCAGTCAGTTACTGGCTGGTTACTCTCACAAGCTTTGTGTTACTAACGCACCAGTCATCTTGCAGGCAGGTCACTACTATAGATCAAAGGGTTTGTGGCTGGCTGGTTGGCTTTTCCCTTTCTCCTTTGATAGTGTGCAGAGTACCTTCCAGTAACATGGATACTAGTCAGTAAAGGTGAAGGCTCCAGGTAGGCACCAACTTGACTTTTCCATGTTTGATGTAATTGTTATCTTCAGCAATAGGTGTTTTCCATCAGTCGTGGAGAGCAACTAGTAACCTTGGTAATTGCCTGCATTGTTTAGGGGCGTCCATAGATCTCTGTTGGCTAACAGCTCAATTAGATGTTACCCATTCCTGGCACTGGAGGTTTAATTTGCTGTAGAAAAATGTTGGGACTTTCTCTTCCCCATTATTTGGTGATTCCATTTGGATTTCTTGCATATACATATATATTTTAAGACATTTCTACTGTAATAGGTTTCCATATGTCCCCTCAAATAGCCATTAGTTTTAGCTATCTCTCCCCATATTCCCTCCCTTGCCCCCTTTCCTTCCCATCCCTATTTTATACTCACTTTCTATACCTTGCCTCCATCCATTCGTAACTATTTCCCTTTCCTAGGGAAATCGTCCCTCCCCTCGAGTCCCTTACTCTTAGACCTAACAGCTGTGGGTCTATTGATTGCAGCCCACTTATTGAAGACTTAAGAGCTAACATCCACATATAAGTGAATATGCAGCATTTTTGTCTTTTGAGGTCTGTGCTACCTCACTTAGCATGATTTTGTAATCCTAGCTCCATCTATTTATATGTGAATTTCATTTTTTAAATGCCTGAGTAATGTACCATCATGTAAACGTACCACATTTTCTTTATTCATTATTTTGATGAGGGGCATCCAGGTTGTTTCAAGGTTCTGGCTACTATGAATAAAGCAACAATGAGCATAGTTGAGAAAGTTTCCTTATGGTAGGATGAAGGATTCTTTGGGCATGTGCCCAAGAGTGGTATAGCTGGATCTTGAGGTAGATGGATTTCCATCTTCCTGAGTAAATAACACGTTGATTTCCATAGTGGCTGAGTTATGCTCCCACCAGCAATGGAGGAGTGTTCCTCTTAACCTATATCCTTGCTAACATGAGCTCCTACTAGTTTTATTAATCTTAGCCATTCTGACAGGTGAAAAATGGAATCACAAAGCGGTTTTGATTTGTGTTTCCCTGATGACTAAGGATGTTGAACATTTCTTTAAGTGTTTCTCAGCCACCTGAGTTTTCTCTATTGAGAATTCTCTGTTTATCCCTATACCTCATTTTTTAATTGGGTTTTCTTGATGCACAGTTTTTAAGTTCTTTGTACATTTTGTAAGTTACTCTTCTAATGGGTGTGTAGTAGGTAAAAACGTTTTTGCATTCTGTAGGCTGCCACTTTGTCCACATGGCAGTGTCCTTTGCTGTATAACTTCTCAGTTTCATGGGGTCCCATTTGTTAATTGTTGACTGTAGTGTTTGTTCAGAAATTCTTTTCCTGTCTGTGCCCATTTTTCTATTTTCTTTTAAGAATGTCCACTAAAATCTATTGCCCATTTTGAATCAGGGTATTTATGCAGTCTTACTTCAAAGATAGATGTGTTATGGCTGCACATAGTGACAGGAATTTGAGGTGGTACATGCACTCTCATGGAAAATTCTATACTGCTTTTCTCAAAGGCTTCTTTCAAAATTCACTTTCACAGTTCTTTGCTACTGTTTTGGGACAAGTTCTATCTTTCTATACCTTCCACCTTCCAAAGGAAAGAACAACAGAAGAATAAAAGCAGTAGCAGTATCTCTAATTGTTTTTATTATTATGCTGCAAGCATAATCTCATCTGCTGCCGTCCTATCCTAAGATGTTTGCCAGGACCCTCTGTTCAGGCCTGGGTAGCAGTCCCCTGCCCGTCTTCCTTCTCTCTGACCCTAACCAGACTTTCCTTTTTCCACCTCATGTAAGGATACTTCCATGCAGAGCTATAAACTTTGGCTCTGTGTGGATAAGTTGGCTCCTGCAGTCAGGGTGATAAGTTTTCATCTTCATGTGAAAGTGTTCTTGACTAGTCTGGAAATGTGGTATGTACTTCTTAGGATGCATTTGACTGAATTCCAGCCTGTTGTCTGTGTTTGTAATCCCAGTGGAATTATGTTTACTGGCCAAGGATGTCACTTTATGTTCATGGAATAATTGAAACAGACAGGGTATCTCCTGATCTTCATTCACTGTTCCTTTGCTGAGCATAGGATGCCTCTTCTCCTCGACTGGGGAGATGGTACAGCTAGGAAAGTGCTTGCTGTGTAAACTTGATCCCTAGCATCCCTGTTTGA